GCCAGCTAAAAAATTTTCTGTTATCTTGCATGTTTTATGAATCTATTCACATCTAAATGCAGCACTTTTTTTACAATGAGACATTTGTTTTTATACTAAAATATCTGAATTACTTTGAAGAAAGCTGGAAATTATGTCCCTTAAAATAATTAAACAAATAAAGCACCAATGTTTTTGTAAGATATTTACATCTTTTAAGGACATTCGGTAGACGGATTCCCCACTGTTGGTTCAACCCCAAAACTTGTTTGTATTCATAATTAATTATGACAATGCATATTTATATTGAAACAAACTATGATAAAGGGAATTATATTATATAACAAAGGGCAAGGTCACCAGAGTTTAACTATGTTTTATTTCAGAGGCTTTGGCAAACAATTTATTACGTAGTACAGTCTTATCTCTGGGTGCTGGTAGCAATCGTTGTCAACACCATAGTCACTCCGTTCTATATATTATTCATTATACCTATTACGATAGTATACTTCCTACTACAGACATTCTTTATTAGAACTTCAAGGTATGTACAATATATGATGTACGGTGCCAATATTACTATAACCATGGCATTGTTATACGAATCATCTTTTGTAAAATAAAACGAAATATCAAATTATACTTTGTGGACAAAGTTATCTTGCTTGTCTTACAGAGAGTTACAAAGAATAGACAGTATCACAAAGTCGCCGGTGTTTGCACATTTCTCGGAAACCTTAACTGGTTTGTCTACTGTACGGGCATATAGGTATGGTTACCTTTAATTTCTGACTATGAACGAACGGATTATGGACTAGTATCATATGCTCGGGATTATTATTCACGATAAATGATTTCATAACAATGAATGATTTGTGTATATTTAAAAATTCCATCATGTTGTTTTTTTGCACAGCCATACTACACATAAATCACTGAGGTCGTTTATTTTTTTAGGATACAGAAACAGCTTCGACGTCGCATCATAGCTAAGATAGATGACAACAACATAGCTTTCCTGTTTATGAAAACAATTAACATATGGCTGGGAATCCGGCTTGTAAGTGTGCATATTTAATAAATTGTTGTATGGGCGGTGTATCAATGCAATTGTGTATGTAGTTTTCAGCACATTTTATAGAAATATTATTAGAGAGCTCAAAATACATGGGTGAGATTCAAACATTTGCATGTATGAAATGGGTGACAAAAGAAACTACACTTTGACTACAGAGTAAATAATTGTGCCAAGACATACTCGTGAGGTCAAACAATATTCCAAGGATCGATGGAATATATCACGTGTCGCAACTAAGCTACGTATTGAAGCTAACGTAAAGATCTGTCGAGTTGTTAATTTATGAACATATTTTCTAATAATAATAATATCTTATTGTAATTAATAGGACTTCATTGGTTCGTTGATGGTGCTACTGGTAGGCCTCATCGCTCTCGTAACCGTGGCATTGGGTAGCATACAGTCAAGTTGGGTCGGACTCACCTTAACGTACGCACTAGCGGTATGTTACCTAATACCGTTTGTTGTCGACAAATATGTAATGCTAAAGCATATGAAACTTGTATTTCTACTTATCCGTTATATTCTTTATTACATATAGGCGGCTACGAATATGAACTGGATGGTGCGACAAACTGCGGATATGGAGATGCAGATGAACGCAGTGGAAAGAGTTAACCATTATACACACCTTGACACAGAGGACTACGAAGGAAATTATTATATTGTATTATCTTACATTACATATTTTGGAGATTTTCTGTTTATTCATTGTCATTTAACTGAATATTTACATTATTTTAGGTGTGACCAACCCCCGCCACGATTGGCCCGACAAAGGCGAAGTCAAATTAGAAAATGTTTGTGTGCGCTATGCAACAACCTTAGATCCGGTGTTGAACAACATAACGCTACACTTCCGAGCAGGAGAAAAGGTTTAAGTTTATGATATTAATTGCCATAATTCTGTTACATGATATTCGAATTATTAGTCACGTAATCAATCATACTCAAATTACAAGTCAAATGGACCAAACTCTATGAGCTATTTAACTGTGTAACCCTCCCAGACATTTTTTTTTACATGAATATTCATGTTTAAATCTTTTCATGCTTTTTAATATGTACTATATGTGGTACAGCTTCAAAATCCTAACAGTCTGTAGTCAGCATTGTTTCAATATAAAGCAAAAACATAATTTTAGGGATCAAAGTACCACGAACCTGCGCCTATACCTTAATTATATTTTAAGACAATAAGTTGTAGTGCATGTCTTTTACGTAACATAATTCGTGAACAGCTTCCCTGGCCTTTTTACAGATTGGGATATGTGGTCGTACCGGAAGTGGTAAATCGTCTCTGACGTTGGCATTGTTTAGGATGATTGATACATTTCAAGGTAGGTAGGTAGATATGAGGATCATTGTGGTTGATATAAATATACCTTAGACACATATAGACTTCTAGGTATTGTTAAAAGAAACAGAGACTGCCTCTCAAACTGTATTCTATTCTATCCCATCACTGTGTCCATTTATGTAACAATGATATGTGTACGCGATGGGTAGTAGAAAGTGGACGAAACGAGTTTCTCTCAGACGCCAATCGCGTTTAAGGTACCTTGACTGTGTTTAATATAGTTTAGAGTTTGTGCTAGGACAATATAAACATTAGTATCTGCAAGATGTTATGTTGTCCTCCCTGTACATGCATTTCACTTTTACTGTTTGTATCTAGGGCGTATTATGATTGACGGTCTTGACATATCACATGTCCCGTTACTGACACTACGAAATAGACTGGCTATCATACCACAGGATCCTGTACTATTCACTGGATCCATCAGGTAGTGACCTTGTCTTATAACTATCATACGTACATACGCGCCATACATACAAACAATCTTGCTGTGATTTAGGTTTAGGCGTTCTATCTGATTTATAATTTTCGAGTCCTCGTATTTGTCGTTGTCTTGAATGGGTAATATATTTACAGATTAATACAGTTATATGTCTGTAGATCATGTTATATGTATTTCATAAGGTTGCAATCACGTAATAGAAAAAACAATGAATGCGTGTTGTTATCTGCACTTCATTAAGATTTAACCTGGACCCCGAGAAAACAAGAACAGATGATGAACTTTGGGCGGCATTGGAAATTGCTCAACTCAAGACTCTTGTGTCTGAGCTAGATAATCAGTTAGGTAAGTGGTTCATTGGTACATTCTTATTAGTTTAGTAAAACAAACCTGTCTCACGATAATATGTTCACGTTCCTTGTTTTTAGATGAACTTGTAGACATGGGCCCAGTAGTAGTTTTGTAAACTCCAATCTGAAATTATGAGCATGAAATCCTAGTTCGTTATAGGGTTACATCCAATCGAAAACATTAGTTCCAATCCATTACATTACCGTTGAATAGTTAGTTTAATCAGATAATGTGGTATGGACCAGCACCCAGCGTTTATGTATAATTTGCTGTACATTAGGTAGTTTGTTATTCGTTGCAGACTCTCTGGTGACTGAAGGTGGTGAGAATTTCAGTGTAGGTCAAAGACAACTATTCTGTTTAGCGAGAGCGTTTCTAAGAAAGGCTAGGGTTCTGGTTATGGATGAAGCTACAGCGTCAATTGATATGCAAACGGTGAGAACGAAAAATGATTACAAATGAAATTGTTGCTATGTATTTCTTTTTTTACTTAGAACCTCCAGGGATTTCATTAAGAGCCGGTCGGCCCCTGGCCATATGGCCGGCTACAAGCCCAAAATTGGCCGTCTATCTTCTGCCTCGACTGCCAACACCATTCTCGCTGCAGCGCTTCGCACTGCCGCGAGCCTTTTCATTTATTTATTTGTTGGCCTGTTGTTACAGGGTGATGGCCTGCTATTAAATGCATTTGTGAAATCCCTGAACCTCTATAACTACAAATTGGGATGTTGAATATGCAAGAAGCACTGTATTGCACAATTTATAACAAGTTCTTATTTTTTAGGACGCCATTCTGCAAAGCGTTGTGTCCACGGCTTTTGCTGACAGAACTGTCATCACAATTGCTGTAAGTAAAAATATATGATACAATACATATACTGTAACGCAGAATGAAACAAACTCGTGTAGAGCTAGCGTAATTGGTGGGTCTGTGTTTGGTTTGTGACCACTACTCGTGTAGAGGTAGCGTGATTGTTGGATTCACATTTGGATCGTGGCCAATACTGGTCTAGATGTAGCATGGCTGGTGGATGTGTCTGTAGATCATGGCCAATACTCGTCTAGCGTGACTGGTGGATGTGTCTGTAGATCATGGCCAATACTCGTCTAGATGTAGCGTGATTGATGGATGTGTTGTAGATCATGGCCAATACTGGTCTAAATGTAGCATGGCTGGTGGATGTGTCTGTAGATCATGGCCAATACTCGTCTAGATGTAGCGTGACTGGTGGATGTGTCTGTAGATCATGGCCAATACTCGTCTAGATGTAGCATGGCTGGTGGATGTGTCTGTAGATCATGGCCAATACTCGTCTAGATGTAGCGTGATTGATGGATGTGTTGTAGGTCATGGCTAATACTCGTCTAGATGTAGCGTGACTGGTGGATGTGTCTGTAGATCATGGCCAACACTCGTCTAGAAGTAGCGTGATTGGTGGATGTGTATGTAGATCGTGGCCAATACTCGTGTAGAAGTAGCGTGATTGGTGGGTGTGTCTGTAGATCATAGCCAATACTCATCTAGAAGTAGCGTGATTGGTGGATGTGGATGTAGATCGTGGCCAATACTCGTGTAGAAGTAGCGTGATTGGTGGATGTGGATGTAGATCGTGGCCAATACTCGTCTAGAGGTAGCGTGATTGGTGTATGTGTATGTAGATCGTGGCCAATACTCGTGTAGAAGTAGCGTGATTGGTGGATGTGTCTGTAGATCATGGCCAATACTCGTCTAGA